GCCTCGCCCGGCCCGGCCTCGCCCCCGCGGGGCTGGAGTGAAGAGCACATTCCCGGCCACGCCCGGCCTTCGCCTTTGGCGGAACCACAGCCGCCGCCGTCCCTGAGGGGTCGCGCAGCGCCAGCACAGGCTCCCTCGGGGAATGGCGCTGCCGCCCCTGGAGACGCTGGCTGCTGGGCAGGGGGGTGGGCAGGGACGCCAGCCTGCACCCAGGGGGCGGCCCAGCGGCGCCCCCGCAGGCCCAGTTCTCAGGCAGGTGTCCCGGCAGCTCCAGCCCCGCGGGCGGAGCTGTGCAACCACCCTGCAGGCTCCGCAGGCGAGCAGCCGCCCCCACCCTGGGCTTGCACGCTGGCACCGGTCGGCCCTGGGTGCTCCTGCCTGCGCTCCTGTGGCCACACACCTGCCCGGGGCCCACAGCCGGCGGCTGCCTCTCCTGTGGCCAGCGCAGTGGCGGAGGGAGGCAGAGGCTGCCCGGATGTCTCCGGGAAGACGGCCTGGGGCAGAGCCAGCCCGCTGACCTGGCGACCCGCTGGGCCAGCTGGGCCGGCTTTCCTGGCTGGATGCCCCCACGGACCTGGGCCAGAGCTGCTGAGCCCTGTGCCCACTCCCCGGCCCACACGGCGCCCGCGGGCAGGACTGGTAATGCTGCTCAGCCCCAGGGCAGCGAGAGGGGCCCTGCTGGACAGGGGTGCAGGCAGGCCACTCACCCTGCTCTGGTCGCCACTTGCTGACCAAAAAGGCTCCCATGGAGTAAGCCCATGGTCCCTAGGACCGGGGGGGCACAGGAAGGACAGGGCAGAGCTGGGAGGCTGCCTCTGCTCAGGGGCCCCCTGGGGCTCCTGGCTGGAGAGGACAACGGAGACCAGAGCCTGGCCTGGGAGAGTCCACCCAGCCAAGAGGACAGGGACTTGAGCCAGTGGGGCAGGCGGCGAGGGCCAGCCCAACACCCCTGCACAGCAGCGCCCAGGGTGGCCGAGTGTGCGTGCCTGACCTTGCACTGGGATGGGCAGCCATGGCGCCCAGCGGACAGTGACGAGAAGTCAGGAGAGCGAGGGGCAGCCCGAGGCCAGGCCCGGAGCGGGTGGGCAGAGGCAGCCCGATGGTGCTGCATGTCTCTGGGTAAGTGGACAGTGGAGGTGGAGGCAGGTTCAACCAGGTTGGGGTCACCTGGAGGGTTCTAGGTTTGCCACCACCAGAACAAGGCTGTGGCCCCGGGCAGGTCTGGTGAGCAACCGTGTCCCGCTGGGCTGTCTGCACCGGGATGCACCCAGGTGCTGAGGCTCGCATGTCCAAGGTGTGCTGGCCAGGAGGCTGGGAGCACCCCAGGGGCCCTGCACACCCGAGAGGTGCAGGCTGGACCCAGCGTAAGCAGGTGATGCCCCACTGCCCCCTGAAGACGGACACCCAAGGAGGGGCCCCAGCGGCAGGAGCTGGGTCACAGGGCTGCCTGGCACCCGCTAACCCCCAGGCGTTGCCTGGCCCCTCCGCCCACTCTGCAGGGCCACTCTGGGGCGGTGGCCCTCACCGCACCCTTGGGGCCTGCCTTCCTCCCTCTTGTGGGGTGTGCCCTGCGGCCCCGGGTGAGGGAGGCCAGTGGGCCGTGCCACGGTCCACACGCCCTCCTCGGCTCTAAATACAAGCCCTGAGCCACGCAGGCGCAGGCCCTGGCCCTTGGGGCCGTCCCAGGGGCTGCCGGCCGGCCCTGGTCTTGCTGGGAAGAGCAGCCCCCTCCAGCCCCCGTGCTCCCACCCCGCGGCGCCCTGTGGCCCCACACGCGGGGGTGCTCGGACAAGGTGGGAGCCCAGGGACTCCGGTCAGCGGTGTTCCTGGCAGCGGGACCCCTTCGGGGCCTGCCCCTCGGGTGTGGGGTGCCCCGGCAGGGCTTGGGGGCTGCCTGCTGGTGGGGGCCGGCGAGCGGCAGGTGAGGGGCGGGGGGCTCCGGTGGCCGGCCCGTCCTCCCGGGGGCTGCTGACCTCCCTGTGCCCCCAGCCGGCAGGATGTCGCTGAAGGAGGGGGCCCAGCGCAAGTGGGCGGCGCTGAAGGAGAAGCTGGGGCCGCAGGAGGGGGACCCCGCGGAGGCCAACCTGGAGAGCGCCGAGCCGGAGCTGTGCGTGCGGCTGCTGCAGGTGCCCTCGGTGGTCAACTACTCCGGGCTGCGCAAGCGTCTGGAGAGCAGCGACGGCAGCTGGATGGTGCAGTTCCTGGAGCAGAGCGGCCTGGACCTGCTGCTCGAGGCCCTGGCGCGCCTGTCCGGCCGCGGCGTGGCCCGCATCTCCGACGCCCTGCTGCAGCTCACCTGCGTGGGCTGCGTGCGCGCCGTCATGAACTCCCGGCCGGGCATGGGCTACATCCTGGGCAACCAGGCCTACGTGCGCCAGCTCTCCCTGGGTGAGCCCGCGCCTGGGGCTCCCCGCCGCTGCCCTCTGCGGCCCGGGGGGCCCGGGGACCGTGCTGCCCTGCACCCCGCCCCCCGCGCCAGGCCCGGGACCCCGGCTGAGCCCTCCAGCCCACGGCCCTGCTTGCACTCTGGCTCGGAGCCTCGCCCTCGGGGACATCGGCCCTGGCCCGGCCCCCAAAACACACCCCCGCTCCAGCCTGCCCGAGCTCTAACCCTGCTCGAGCCTCGCCCTCGGGGACATCGGCCCTGGCCTGACCCCCCCCCCGGCCCCCCCAGCCTGCCCTGGCTCTAACCTGGCTCAGCTGCTGCCTGCAGTTTTGCTCAACTTCTAAGGGCCAGCTCAGTGTCACCTCCCCCAAGAAATCTCCCCAGAATCCATGCAGTTAGTCCTCAGCCTTGGGAGGAGGCCCAGGGGGTCTTCACGGGCAGTGGTCACTGCATGACCCTTGACCGCCAGGCTGTGCTTGTGACACAGCTGGGTCCCGCTGATGCCTGGAGTTCGGGGTGGTGAAGGGTAGGGGTGGCGTGCTTTGGATACCCCAGAACGCTCACAGCGGAGGGCATGAGGGCAGGCAGGGGTCCCGGGGTTGTCTCTGGCCTCTGCCGGTGGCTGCTGCTGCCCAGCCCAAGCATTGGGAAGGGAGGGTCCAGGGCTGAGTGGAACGGAGGAGCTCCCGCCGGTGGTTTGACCCCAAGACGCTACACCTCCCTAGCGCTGGACACGTCCAACATGATGGTCAAGAAGCAGGTGTTCGAGCTGCTGGCCGCCCTGTGCATCTATTCCCCCGAGGGCCATGCCCTGGCCCTGGATGCTCTGGATCATTATAAGGTGGGGGGGGTCGGGGGGAGTGGGCGTGGAGGGGCCCTATGGGCGCCCCCTGAGCCCTGGCTCCCACAGACCGTGTGCAGCCAGCAGTACCGCTTCAGCGTCATCATGGCCGAGCTGGCCGACAGCGACAATGTGCCCTACGTGGTCACCCTGCTCAGCGTGGTCAACGCCCTCATCCTGGGCACCGAGGACCTGCGGGCCCGCACCCAGCTGCGCAGCGAGTTCATAGGTGCCCGCCCGCCTGTCTCCACCCCTTGCCCGTTCGGCGCCCACACAGGGGCGAGACCCTGCACCCCTGCTCCCTCTGGGGCGGCACCTTCGGCATCCTGGGGCGCACCGCTGAACGTGGAGGCCGGGATAGCCGTGGCCTGAGCCACAACCCACCGCCCTGGGCTGGGTGCTGCTGGCGGAGCCCTGGGGAGCAGGGGAAGGTGCCCGGGCAGCGATGTGGCCAGCATGCTGACCCTCTGTCCCTCCAGGGCTGCAGCTGCTGGACATTCTGACGCGCCTGTGGTGAGTCCCGGCTGCTGCCCCCAGCCTTTGAGTGCCCGCTGCGCCCCCCAAGTGCGGGGTGCCTCCCAGCGAGCCCCCAGAACAGGCGCTGCCAGTGCTCCTGGACCCACAGCTTCCGTGGCTGCCCAGTGGGCAGTGGCAGCTGTTCTGGGAACGCGGGCGCCAGGCCCAACGCAAGAAGGCCCCCAAGTCAGACTTGGACACCGCCGTGACCTGAGCACAGACAGTGCCGTGACACCCTGAACCCCCGTGTGCCACTGACGCGCCATTGTGACCCGGACGCCCACCTGGGCTCAGCGGGAATGCTTTTGGGGGTCTGCGGGGAGGTCATTTTGGGGGTCCCTGGGGCAGACCCACAGGTCTGAGGGGCCGGTGAGGCAGAAGCCCGCCCTCAGCCACCCTGCAGAGTCCCGGGGGTGCCTCCGTCCGGCCGCCTGGGGCGTGCCCCGCCCCGGCCAGGCCACCTCGGGGGTGGCAGACGGGACCCCCCTACCCCGGGCTGTGGAACCCCAGCCCAGGCAGGGGACAGGGGCGCTGCGGGGGCGCTCAGCCGCCTTCACCGCAGGGACCTGGAGGACGCCGACCTGCTGATCCAGCTGGAGGCCTTCGCTGAGGCCAAGGCGGAGGACGAGGACGAGCTGCGGCGAGTGTGTGGTGGCGTGGACATGAACAGCCACCAGGAGGTCTTCGCCTCCCTGTTCCACAAGGTGGGCCCAGCTGGGTGCCAAGGTGCAAGGCCCGGCCGGGGACCAGGGCAGTGTGGCTGGGCCCGCGCCACCGCGGGGAGCAGGCGGTGGGGCAGTGAGGGGCCGGGCTCTCGGTCCCGGCAGCCCACCGGCTGGGGCACCCAGAAGCCCCAGGGGCACCCAGAAGCATGTGGACATGTGCCGGGCTGTCCTGGGACATCAGCAGCAGGGGCACTACGGGTCTCCAGTGGGCAGAGACGGGGCCAGTGCCCCTGCAGGGCGCACGTGGTCGGCTGTGCACCGGTGGGGCTGCAGGACCGCACCACCAGGTCCCCAGGGAGGGTGAGGGCGGACGGCCCTGCGGACTGAGGTGCGGTGATGCGGACCCCAGAGGGTGGCCACTGACCGGCCCGTGTCCCCAGGTGAGCTGCTCGCCGGCGTCCGCCCAGCTGCTGTCCATGCTGCAGGGCCTCCTGCTCCTGGAGCCCACCCTGCGCTCCAGCCAGCTGCTCTGGGCCGCCCTGGAGAGCCTGGTGAACCGGGCAGTGCTCCTGGCCAGCGACGGTGAGCCCGCTGCCCGCCGCCAGCTCCCCGCCACTCCCGCCTGCCCCACTGACCACCCGCCCCCTGGCTGTCCACAGCAGAGGGATGCACCCTGGAAGAGATGGTGGAGCGGCTCTTGTCCATCAAGGGGCGACCGCGCCCCAGCTCCCTGGACAAGGCCCACAAGAGCGTCCAGGCCGACCTGGGGCAGAGTCAGAGGGGCAGCGCCCCCAAAAGCTCCAACACCATGAAGGCGGGTGTGGAGAGCCAGCAGCAGGCAGCTGCCCCCGCCAGCCAACAGGGGTGCAGCAGCCGGAGCCCCAAGGCAGTGAGGACTCCTCAGCCACCAGCTTCACCCTCCCCGGCACCCTCTCTCCCCCCTCCACCACCCCC